TCCCTCCCTCCCTCCCTCCCTTCCTCCGTCCGTCCCTCCCTCCTCTCACTTGATCGCCCAGCAGACGTCGCAACCTCAAATAGCACAGAGCACAGGTATCGACGTGCTCGCATGCCCCCATAGCCGGTCGATGTATCCTGTCGTCGAGTTGCTCCGTGCATACTGCGCACACCATCCCCTCGCTCGACTCCCGCCGGGCGGGGACCTCCTCCACGGGACGGGCGACATGCCCCAGCTCCTCGTGTGCCTCAGCTTCCCCGTTGATCTGTGCCAACAAAGCCAATGCCTCTGGTCCCACATTATTCTGGAAGCTTCCGTCTTCCTTTAAAGCCATGCCCGCGGCGAATGATTCGGCCAGACCGGGTGTCGGGGGCAGGCGGCTCTCTCTCCGATCCGCTTGGCTCTGATTGCCATCCATACTAAATCTGCCACCCCCATTCCCACGCCCGACACCTCCACCTCTCCTGTAGCTACGACCCTGTCCACGGGGGCCACCGCCTCTACGGCTCTCCGGTTGCTCCACCTTTTCGTGTCTCTCGTTGTCTCTCCTCCCTGAGTTACTGTGATACCCACCACGGGGCCCACCGCCTCCTTCGGTACCACCGACGCGGTCGCTTTCTTTCGGCATGATGAATCAGAACGCGAACCTCCTATTCTGCATTTTCGACCGACATAGAAATGAAGGAAATGGGTTTTGGGAGATAAAATATATATTACATTTGCGCGGGATGACCTGTGCAATGGACGTCACTCGCCGCAGTATCGCGCAAAACTATGACTCTACCCGGGGCTGCCTGAGGTCGCATTCTTCAACGCCCTCGCAAGCATTGACACCACTTTCATGTTATCTTTCTGGGAAAATGTAGGCTGTCTTCTGCGGGGCACTGCTGCCATTACAGCCAGATCAACTCTGATAGGGGGGCGTCTGGCATTACTCTGACCGTTCTAACCTCCCCACCAGCCCCAACTTGACAATGACAGATCAGCCTACACCTGCGATGGTTGCCGCCATTTTACGAGATGTGGGGCTTTTGAATGTGGAGAGTGAGGAAAATATAAGCGTGTGTGCCATTTCTGGAGGCAACACAAATCGTGTCTATCGCGTGAGCCACACGGGAGCCACGGCGAGGGGGGGAACGCGGGACTTCCTCTTACGCCTTTTCGGTTATGGAACTGAGGTCTTTATCGATCGACAACAAGAAGCACTGATCTATCGTGCTGTCTCGTCACAGGGACTATGCCCAAAACTTCTTGCGACATTTTCCGAGGGTCGCATCGAAGAATTCGTACCTGGTCAACCGCTGAGTGCCAAACAGTTCCGGTCCGGCGCCTTCTCGGCCCTGATAGCCAGACAGCTTCGGGCATTTCATAGTATTGCAGACGTCAAGGGCTTGCCAAAGCCAACCATTCCACCTTTAATCGCTCAGCTTCGCGCGTGGGCGACGAAAGCGAGATCTGTGTGTGGCAGTGCCTGGGGAGGCATCGACGTTGCATCCCTGGAAGGAGAGGTCGATCGGCTCGAAGCCCGTTTGCTTGCCGTCTCAAGCCCAGTATGCCTCTGCCATAATGATGTCAACCACTTGAACATCCTCCTGCGCCCCACAAAGCTGGAGACCCCTGGACAAGGTACCTCGGAGGGGACAGAGAGCGAGATCGCTGGCTGCCATTCCAACGCTGGTTGCGCAGCGACCACGCCAGCCCTTGGCCCAGTAGCAGGCGACGATATCGTTTTCATCGATCTTGAATATGCTGGATGGAATTACCGTGGCTTTGACCTGGGTAATCTTCTCTGCGAGTGGGCCAGTGACTTCCAAAGCCCCCACCCCTGCGAACTTGATTTTTCTTCACACTACCCTACGACCGAGGAGCAAAAGCATATCGCGCGCGCTTACCTGGGAAGTGGAGCACAAGGGGAGGCAATCGAAGCGCTGGTCATTGAAATGAATGAGTTCGCTTTAGCATCACATTTGCTCTGGGGCATGTGGGGTCTGATCCAATCGAAGATGTCCACCTCCGAGTTTGAGTCAGTGAGCTATGCACAGCAGCGGCTGGCGGCGTATTTTGAAGGGATGAGAAGACACCAGAGGCAACAAGGGTCTTAAAAGCTGTATGTAAAAAGAATGGGAGAAGAGATGGAAGAGCCCCAAGGAAACGAGAGGCCCAACGCCGGTATGGGGGAGACCCCGCATGTGTACTGCCATTTCGTTTCCTATTTTCTGCCACTTTACGCGATTTGGTTTTAATAATTACATGCCCTCATCCTTGTTTCCCTCTCCCACCGAGCGCTGTCTCTTCGAGGCCCTTTCTCCGGGCGGCGCTCCCCCCCGAATTTCTCGGTACTTCCCTTTCTTCCTCTTGATTGTTTCCCGTTTCATGACGTTCTTTGCCAGTTTTCGTTGGGCCGCCGCCCCAGGGTCTGTGATTGCTTCCACCGCCCGCGCTTGTTTCCGGCTCGCCCTTTTCTGTGTCGCCTGTTTCTGTACATCAGAGAACGCCTTCAGGAACGCCGTGGCTCCCGCTTTCTCTTCGATCAACGCGGTCACCTCTTTCGCCAACTCCACTGCGTCGTTCCCGTGGGCGCTCGCTTCCGCTTGTCCGTCACTGGTCGCCCTGTACAATGGAGACAGCATGTGCGGAAGGAACCTTTCGACCACGGCCTGGCCCTCCAATGTGGTCACGGCGGCAAAGAACTGGAAAACCGCGCAACGCCGATCCTCTCCCTTGCGTCGTGCCATGTACGAAAGCCGATGAAAGATCCACGAGAGTAAATCTTTGGGTGCGTCCCCTTTTTCCTGGACGCCGACCTCAGACTCCCCGCCACCCACGTCTTCCTCTTCCCCCTCTAGGGCTGCGTCCGCCCGCACGGGGCTCCCTCCTCCATGTTCAAGCTCCAGCTCTGTATGCACCATGGCTGAGGTGAGAAATACCAAGCTCTTGACTGCGCGCAGGCTCAATTCTGGAGCTAAAGAAGGGCGGTCGATCTGCACGCATAAACGCCTAGCCAAGGCTGCACAATGGGCGGGATCGGACAGAAATGGTGAGGACCTTAGCTGAGTCCCAGTAATCAGCGTCCTCGTCTTTCCTCCCGTCGCGCGTCGATCCAAATATTGACCGATTACACGCGAGGCAGCCAGGCGCACCCAGGCGTGACGGTAGCACAAAATCTCTGACGTGGCGGACAAGAGCGTCATTCCCTCGGGAAAGCCGTGCAAAAAGCTCTCCACCATGCCAGGGAGCCTCGCATAAATCCTGCTTATCGTCCCGAGGCAGTGGTATGCCATCTCCCACCCCAAGGCTGCCTCCCCCTCTCGCTCATGGGGGCTCTCCAAGCCATCCGCCTGCACGTCTGGTACGGGCCCTCGCTTTTCCACCGAGGCCAAGGTGTCAGAAAAAAGGAGCAAGAGCTCCATGCCTAGACCGTCCTCCCCTCCCCGCTTGAACAAATCGGGTCGGCTGTCCACGAACAGCCCCACTGCCTGCGCTGCCGCACGTGCGAGCCCTTCATTCTCCACGTGCATTCGCATCCACCGACATTGGTAATCAAGCAAGGTGTTGAACACATCTCCTGAGACCCGGCGCAGCAGCGCACTTATGGCATCTGCCGCGGCTGCCCTCGTCTTGGGACAAGGGTCATTCACCAAACGCAGGACCATGGGGAAAAACACCACCTGAGCGTGCTCGTTTAACATGGACACCTGCAGTTTCATGATTAAAGTTTGCAAAAGACCGAAGGCGGCCATTCGACCTTCCGCATATTCATAGTCCAGGTTCCGCACTGCCTGTTGCAGAAACCCCGCGACCTTGACTGAGCTGAGGGGGTAGTGCAAGAGGAAGGAGACAATGATTTGACCGCCCATTTGCCGGACTGTCGGCCGACGGGAAGTCACCGCGATTCCCAGCATTTGCTCCATCAGGTCGTACATCTCAGGGACCATGGCCCGACGAGCGACTAAAGCCCGGACGAGCGCGAAAGGTGCGTTGACATGGTCGTAATCCAAAGCGGCAGCACGGAGCAAACAGACGAGGGCGCCGAGGCTCTTGGTGGGGATCGGGAGCGACGGCCGTTTTTCCGGCTGAGTGAGGCCCAGTGGTCCCAGCGGCGCGTCGTCTTCAATGCTGTTCCCCGAGGCCGCAATCAGGATGGTGAGGATTCTCAAGCAAGACTGCACAATCTCGTCCCGGGAGTTTGCAGGCCCTCCGGCCATGCTGAGAAGACTGAGCGAAGAGCGAACAAGACGTGGCGTCAAGAATGTCAAGGACGGTAGCGAGGATAGGTGTCGGAGCATAAGAGCGAGGCATTTGAGCGAGAGAAGAACGATGCTATCGTTCACTCTTCGGCGGACACAGCGGGCAAGAAGACCTACGTAGGGGTCTAAAACGGGAATGAGCTCCTCAGAGGGCTGTCCCAGTCGTTTCAGATACGAATGCAACAAGCGCAAGCCCAAGACTCCCGCCGCCAAGGCTGCCGGAGAACCGAACATGCCGCCCTCGGCACGCCGTGCTTTGGTACCGTGTCGGCCCCAGCCTGTGAGCTTCGGGGCATTCTTTCCATCCAAAACGCGGATTTCCTCCCTTGCAGCCATCCGCTGGACTTGCTTGGCTTCCACTGCTAGCTTAAGCGTCCCGTCCACGGGCAGCCAGCTTGGCACCTCCTTCTTGGGCCGATGCAGGTCTGGCTTCGGAGCTTCCGTCGCCTTCACTGCTGCTTTTCCAATCACCTGCAGATCATCTTCCTCATCAACCTCGCTCTCACTGGCCTCCGCCTCCGGCTCTTGCCCGTCCAGCCCGCCACTCTCCTCCTCGTCCTCGTCCTCGCTCAGGACGAAGGGAGAAATCAAGCCGTACACGTACAATAAGACCTCTTCTGCCTTCAGGCTGGGATTCACAGACAGCCCAGCCACCACCCGTTGAAGGGCTTCGTTGACGCGTCCGTGCATACGGGGGGATTCCGAGTCGTGCAGCTGCAGTAGGAATGGCTTGACCAGGGCATGGACGGACGAAAGAGCCCCCGGGTCCTCAGGACAAGCCACGGCATAGGTGGGCCGGAAAAGCAAGAGGCGCGAGAGGATTTCTAGCCCGTCCAGTGCCTTCTGCCCCTTGGCCTCTTTGATGGTTGCGCTTTTCACCTCCGCCTCCGCCTCTTTCGCCCCCGCTGCCTCCCCGAACAAGTCTTCGGTCAAGAGCGCCACAATTTCGGTCAAGCAGGCATCCAAGGGAGGCCGCAGGGCGTGGGCATTGCTGTCGCTCCCATTGCCGTAAGAGCTCGTCTCAGGGGAGGGGCCCGCTGCCAAGCTGGCACGAGGTACTGGCAGGGACGGAGCATCGAGAGGAGGTTTGTACACCTCCTCCAAGGAGCGTAGGACCGTGTGCAGCGTAAAGATACGAATATGCAGCATGTAGCCTTCCCGCAGCGCCCCCTTAAGCTCTTTGATGATCATGCCTAAGTAGGTCGGTCCCAGGTCTTGGGCCATCTTGGCAAGGACCTCCCTGGCGGCATCGCGGACGTTCGAGTCACGACTACGGAGAGTTCCGCAGACCGACATAAAGAGCCGCGTCAATTCCTGCTCGTAGCTGGTCCGGGGAAGCATCTTGATGAGTTTCAGGAGGGCGAGGGCCATGGGCGCACGCAGGACTTTCTGCTTCCCTCCCTCCTTGTCCTTGCTGTCCTTGAGAAGTAGTCCGCGTAGGCTAGGAAGCAGCTGTGTTGTGACAGCGCGCCAAATCACGTCTTTTTTGAGCGCATCCGTGGGCGGATTGGAGATGGATCTCTCTCTCACACCCTCTGCCTCGTCCTCCGCCTTCCCGCCTCCCTTGTCCTCCCTTCCATTCTGCATTGCCCCACCCATCTCGCTATCGGCCATCGTCGACACCGCGTCGGTCGATCCTTTCTCATCTTGGTCCGCTGAGGAAGATGGAGGGGTCAGAGGAAAGTGGAAAACGTCCAAGACGTGGCACAGGCCGTTGACCAGGGCTCTCTCCCGCGACGCTGGGCTTTGGCCTACAGGAGTCAGGTCTACTAAACTGATCTCTCGCAAAAACCGTCGAAACAACCCGTTGTAGTGTGACCAAGACAAACGACGAGCCACAGCGGCCGTTGCCAATATGGATTCATGGAGCAGGGTGGGATCCGGCGCTTTGACTTGGATTGTTCGGTCCACGGAAAGCACGGGTTGCGAGGCGAGGGGGAGGAGGACATGAACCAGAGAAGAGGATGACAGAGCTGGCGTCAAGATCAGTGTATTTTCCAGCCCTGCCTCTTCCAATTTGACAGTCTCGTCGTCACTTTCCTTCAACAGTTTTGTCAGGCGTTGCAAGGCCCGTGCTCGACGGTGGACTTGGATGTGGATGATATTCTGGAAAAAGTCGGCTTCTGCGTCTGTCTCCCGTACCAAGCATGCGAGATCCCCGTGAAAGACCAAGGCGTGCGCCGAGATCCAGGATGGGGCCTCCGTCCGTTTCTCACCCCGAGTCGGCGTCCGAGTCCTCAGCGTGCCTGCACTTCGAACCAGTGCTGCCATCACCTGCACATACCCCTGCCGTACAGTATCTTTTGCTTGGTCCATACCAGCGCGCACCGATGGCAACAATCCCGCCTGCAGCAGCCACAGCCATTCTTTCTCTGTCCCCTGCCCCGCGGCCGCGACCAGCGCGCGGAGGCTTGCGCCAGCCGCCACTCGGACCACGACCTCTCCATCGTGCAGACACGACAACGCATGGGCTACCAAGGGGAGTAGTGCCAGGCCGGACCCCCCCGTTTCGGCCATCAGACGCGCCCACAGCTCCGGCTCTGCCAAGCGAGTCCATGCCGGCATGACCACGTCCAGGTTGCGACCCTCCAAGCCCTCCTCGTCGGGGGTGTTCAAGAGGTGTATCATTTCCATGACCGGCCGCAAGTCTTGCATGTCTCCATGTGCGTCTGCCATCGCGGCCAAGGCGACGACCAAGGGTTGACGCAAAGGACCCGTTGGTTCGAACCCCACTGGGCCGAGGCCGGCCGGTCCGAGCAGCTTGGAGAGCTGCACGACGTCGCGCCTCGGCGAGGCCATGTGAGGAACAAGAGCCCCATAGGCCCCCAGGACAAGGGCTTTGGTGGGCGCACGGAGAAGACGCGGAGATTTGAGGCGAGGGAGGAGGAAGCCAAAAAGGGAAGAGAGGGTGGCGTCTTCGACAGTGGCAGGGGTAGCGACCATGCCCTCCTCTCCTCCTGCGCGGGCTCGGTTTCTGGCTGCCAGCTGACTGATGTTACAGAGAAGATCCAAAGAGCGCTCCAGGAGGGAATCGTTGTTGTTGGTGGCAGCATGCACCTTTTCGAGGCGCTCTGTGATATGTTTCACTAAAGCCGGCAAGTGCGAGAGGAGATGGGAAGCACCGTCGTGCTCGCAAAGCCGTTCCATGATGCTCAAGATGGGTCCTGCGACCGTGGCGGGCGGCGCTTGTCCTGAAGAAAGACAGGCCAAAAGGGTGGGCGTCAATGTCGCCTCAAATGCGATGTATATCGGCAGAAGCGCGTCGTGCTGCGTCAAAGTTAACAGCAGGTCCAGCAAAGCGGGGGGCTGGCGGGCTCCTGAACACATAGCAGGCAGGCGTGAGACGCTAGGACCGAGGACAGTCCAGAGGCGGGGGGCGATGGAGGTGAAGTCAAAAGACTCAGCGTACTGGTCGAAGAGCTCTGAAATGACACGCGTCGACAACAGGCGCAAAGAACCTTGGGTATGCCCCCGGCGCACTTGGATATCGCCGTCCTCCACCTCATTCTCCTCGTCCTCGTCCCCTCGTTCCTGCCCGCCATCCCTGCCATCCCGCGAGTCGTCGTCATCCCCTCCCACGCCGTGCCATTCATTTTCTCCATCCTCGTCGCCCTCCCTCGCATTGTGGACCGCCGACGCGTCTCGGTACCCCTCGCCCAGCAGCCGCAGCGTCACCTCCACAAAAGTACCGACGAACGGCAGGACATGGAAGCCCATCTGTCGAATGACACTGCTCAGCAGGTGCAAGAACCCCAGACGCCTTCCTGCCGAGGCAGCTATCACGTCGAGATTATTTTTGGTGTCGAAAGACGCTGTCGCATCCACCAGGAAAGGTCGCAGCATCAAGTGCACAAATTCACGGAACTCAGTCTCGCCCTGCGCACCCGCCATGAACGACACGATCGCCGTGCGCCGAGCCGCTGGACTATCTTTGGACGTGCGAGTGCGCGCTCGTGAGGCTTTGGCCAGGAAACGGCCAAACAGAAGACGAATCAAGAGAGGCACAAACTCTGCCCGATGTTCCGATTGAATGTCCTTAGTCAGGCTAAAGCGGACCAATTCATCTCGTAGATGTATGTCTTTCAACAAGGCTTTACAAGTAGTTGCATACGGCGTCAGATAAGGCAGTTTGGCGTTGATCAAGCAGTCGAGGGTAGCAACGACCACAGCATTGTCAGGACGTGACAAGAAAGTGACGAAAATACGGAGCAAAAGTGCTCTCCCATCTCCGCCCCTAGGAATGCCTCCTACCGCAAAGAGTCTCAAATATGCCAGGAGCTTGCCTCTCGCAGCTTTGGCACTGGACAACCGCGCCGGAGTCAACAGATCAGACGTTTTGGCTGCAGAAGCGGCAGTGACAAAGACCACAGACGCGGATGATGTTGCCTCTTTGTGCGTGTGTGTTTGAAGCTCCATCTGCTCTTTCAGGAATCTCGCCAGTTCTCCCTTGAGTTCCAAAGACGCTGGGTCATCCACGTACATGGCGAAGTACTGATGCAGCAAAAACCCCACGAATAATGAGGACAGCTCGTCGGATTTGCGGCTTAGCAACGTCGGGGAGCGTGTGATGAAATCGAAGACCCATGACAAAGACGTCAGCGGGTCCGTAGAACCAAGCTTTGATGCTTGCCCTCCCCCGATATCCTCTCCACTCGAGCCTAATGTCCCATCCCCTAACAAGAAAGAGGCGGTCCGAATCTCCTCCGACGGTGGAAGATTGGAGACAGCCCAGAGGTTGCCTCCCAACCTTCGCAGCAGCAGGTCCATCCCTCGCTTTCCCTCCTGGTCATTTTCATTTCCTTCCGCACCCTCCTCCCCGCTGTTTCCTGTGCTTTCCTTTCCTTTCATTGCCACCAGGCGCGAGTCCACCTCGGCCATTGTAGCCACGACATGTCCCCAAATTGCATGTGTCTCCTCTGCGCGCCGACATGCTGAGGAGAGGGCCGCAAATGTCCTCGCTGTCAACTGCCACAACTCGGCGAATCGTACATGCAGCAAGCCAAGGCAATGGCTGGCAAGTGGCCCTATATATGGACCTGGTAGACGCCCCGAATTTGCCCACACTTCAATGCGGTTCAGCAGCACGCCAAAGGTACGCTCGGCGCTTATCGACACGGACGCAGCTTCGAGCTCCAAGCATGTGGCAAGCGCGCGGCACGGTCCCACGAAGGAGGATTCCTCGTTGTTGGTATTGCTGCGGGTGTTGGCGTCACCTTTCTTTGCACCAGCCTCTCGAAAGGAGAGCTGTGGCATAAGGACCATCAGACGCAGGGTGGAGAGACGTAAGAGGTGGGAAGGGGAGTGCAAATTGCTACTCAGGAGCAGCAAAGCTTCTTCAAGGGGCAATGCAGGCAGCAGTGAGTCGTCGCTCGCGAGTAATGCGGTTAGGGCTCGAATTGTCCCCAATAAGGACGGCGAGGCTTGCAGTTGTTTCCACATAGATGCCGCCAATCCCTGTCTTTCTGCCGATGGTTGTGTGCCTGGCAGTGGATGCGGCTTCCTCGGGCTTTTTTCCTTCCCGCCAGCCACCTTCTCGGTTGCCGAGCTCATTTCCTGGGCACCGGAGGAGTCTCTGTCCGCTTCCCATAGTTCTATTAAAGCCATGGCCGCTTGGCTTGCCAAGATCTCTTCCGCCTGTGGGTCGTTCACTAACGTTTCCACCGCCCCTAGGGCGTGCGCGCGCAACGATAAGTCAGAGGGGGAACGACCACGTCCAGCGGCCCGCAGAACCGAAGGAAGGCAACGCAAGGCAAACATCTGTTCGCTCAGCGATGTATCCTCCGATTCATTCTTCTTCTCGATTCGACCTATCAGATCGCGTCCCAAGTCTGCGACCCGCGTTGGATCTCCGCGTCGCAAAATGTCCGGTTTTTCTCCCACCAAACTATTCAACAAGCCCACCCAGGAGGCCAGCGGGCACGTGGGCATGACCGCACGGGCAAGACAGGCATTTACCACCAGTGTTTGCGAATCAGGATCGTCCATGCACCCGCCGAGACGCAGAACCTTCGACGCCAGTTCCCCGACCACGGCGGGATCCCCGCTACTCTCTGGTCCTAACAACGCGGTCGTGGCTTCCACCAACGCCTCTTCCGTCGCCGTTTCCTCTGCAGTCGGAGCATGGTGGGACCCTTGTCGGCGCATATCCAGCCAGTCCCATAGGGCTGAGATCAGAAGGACTAGCTCGGCTTTCGTCGCTTCACGAGCAAAAGCGAAGGCCTCGGGCGGGGTCGTGTGCTCCACCACCGCCTCATTCAAAGCTCCCAGGAAGGCTTGCCTCACCTCCCTATCACTCAATAACCATCCCTTCCGATAGCGTAATAAAACCACAAGCACATGCACCGTACGCTCCAGGCCATTCCTGTCGCCACTCTCTTCCCGCGGGGCGGCAGCCAGGGCGTCCAGAGCCTCCTTCCACAAGGGCGCTGTCTGCGCTGGCTTGAGGTGGGGGGTCAGATATACCAGCACCCCCTCCACCACTTTCCTATGGACCTGACCCAGAACATCGTCCTCGCCATGGGCCTCCTGCTGGAGAAGCGCTCGCACGACGGGCACGGCCTTCGAATGCAGTTGCCCCTGGGATTGCACCCCGCGAGTGATATAAAATATCAGCAGAGCCATGCCATCCATTAAATCTGCCCCCCGCCGCTCCGCACCATTCTTTATTAGGCCGGAATCTTTCGGCTTTCGAGAGGCCCCCCTTCTTTCCTCTTGTCTGAGGCTCCCCTGCGAGGCCATGGCCGTCGTCGCCGCCTTGACCACTCCCTTCAGGTGTTTACACAATCGTTCATCTTCCAACCGCCGCAATAACCCCGCCAGTGCCTCGGCCGCATATTTCCTCACAAATACCTTCCTATGTCCCAGCAACGGACCGTAGTACCGCTTCAAGACGTTCAGGTCTCGCAAAATCGGGCGGTGGAGAGAGGTGAAAAGGTGTGCCATGGACTGGACGACACGGGCCGTGTTCTCAGGGTTGCTTGGGTCCAAAGTGACCAGCAAGGTGTCCATAAGTGAGTCAAAATGCCCCCCTGCATACAGCTCTGCTCCGACCTCCTTGGCCAGTACCGCGACGAGGAAAAGGGCATGCTCATGGGCCGGTCCCCACGTGTGGCGCAGGCGGTCGGTCAGGATACGAACAATGCCAGGGAGATGGTGGATCACCTCAGGCAAGCTCCTCGACAGGGGAGCGAGGTCCTTACCCAAGCGCTGAAACGCTTGAGATGTATTGAGCTCCAAATACCCTTGCACGTGGTCGTGGAAAAGACACCCCGACTTCGGAATGACCTCCTGGGATATGCCCTGAACGACGTCCATGCCCTGTGCCTCAGGCTTCGGATCCAACTGCCCCTTCTTTTCGAACATAAAGTCATGGCTTTTTGTCTGAAGATGGAATATTGGGAGACGATGCACGAAGCAGAGGGTCAATATTGTCAACGTGGTAGGGGAATGGGCCTTGGAGTACACGACATGTGATATGGACCCCCAATTAGGATTCTGTGCCACCAAGGAGGCCCAGGCTTTTCCCATGTACACTTAATATAACTATTTACATTCGACGTGACTGCCGCGGAAAGAAAATGGAGAGGTGACCGGCATGCAGGAGATGCAGGCAGGGCCGCTCCTACGATGAACAAAGCAAATAACGCACCTTATGGACCACATCTACGCGACGTTGCCCCTGCTTTATGCGGGTTTTGAGCTTTTGAAATCGAAAGCGATTCCGTCCACCTGTCTCGTTCAGTCCCCGCATTCACCCTAATGTGAGTGATGGATGGTTTAATGGAATGGATGAGATGAAGCTAGCCTCGCTCCTGCCAGTGTGCTTGTGTTCGTCACGCTAATCGAGGGCTGTTTGATGGCTCAAATGACCCAAAACCAACGAATGTGGATGAATATCGTTCCTAATGGCCTTTTTGTGTGTGCAAGCGTATGCTGCCGAAGGGAATGGGAAGAATAGGTCTAATGGGACACTGTGGTAAGCGGTAGACGCGTAGTGGAGAGGATGATATGGCCCGCCCGTAGTATCTTGGCTGGCCCCTGCTTTTTTGGTGGAGAGAAACGGGGGAGCGCATTTCTTGGTTTGTCCACGCACGTAATTGTTCCGTATGGATGCAGGTAGACTTCTTGAGGTGGGAGAACGAGAGTACTGGCTTTGTTTTCTTTGCTGGAGGTGATGACCCGCGATTGGGTACGAAGCATGTTGGGATGTGAGTGGCAGTGGGGGAGGTGACGGTGAAAGATAGTGGTGGTCAAGGCACATTGCGACCAACCGAGCTTTATCTTGAAATGAACCAACGTATCACCCTGACTTGTCATTGCTCGCTTTGCATGTCCATGAACTCGGGGCGGATTGACAGTTTATCATTAGTGGGCGGGTTCGCCTGCGATTTATTCGCGACCTACGTAACGCCCGGCTCGTAGGTGGAAAAGAGGTAAATATGTGCTCAATCTAAGCCACTGCTATCTCAACAGGAGCATCATGAAAGAGAATCTGAAGCGCAAAAAGCGGCACGATAAAGACAAGTACTACCACTTGGCGAAAGAGCAAGGGTATCGATCGCGCGCCGCTTTCAAACTGATACAAATCAACCGCAAATATGATTTCTTGAGCAAAGCCAAAGTCTGTCTAGACCTGTGCGCTGCCCCTGGGGGCTGGTGTCAGGTGGCCGCCAAGCACATGCCGTCCGACAGCATTATCCTGGGCGTGGACTTGCTTCCTATCCGGCCCATTGCCAAGGTCAAGACTTTAGTGCATGATATCACCACCCCTGAGTGTCGGGCGGCGGTCAAACGCGAAATGCGCGCCCATCCGCACGTTGACGTGGTTTTATGCGACGGTGCTCCCAACGTGGGGGCTACCTACGACAAGGATGCTTTTGTCCAGAACGAGATTGCCCTGGCTGCCCTGCGCGCGGCCACCTGCCACTTGGGCCCCGGAGGCACCTTTCTGACCAAAGTTTACCGCTCCCAGGACTACAATGCCTTGATGTGGGTCTTTAACCAGCTCTTTGCTTCGGTCCAGGCCATCAAACCCTCCTCGTCCCGGCAGCAGTCCGCGGAGATCTTTGTCCTCTGTCTCCGGTATAAAGCCCCGCATTCGATCGACCCCAAGCTCCTGGACCCCGCCTACGTGTTCGCAGAGATGGAAGGCGGCTCGGGGGACAAGGCGATCAGCATTTTCAGCGCCCAGTACGCGCGTCAAAAGCGGCACAGGTCTGGGTACGATGGGGAGGCGGGGGTGCTGTTGCATCGGAAAGCCTCGGTCACGGCGTTTTTGGCGAGTGAGGACCCGGTCCAGTTTTTGAGCGAACAGAGCGAGGTAGTCTTCTCCCCGGGCTGCACGCCCTTCCTCGAACATCCCCTGACCACGGAGGAGGTAAAGAGCTGCCTGGCCGACCTCAAGGTGTTGGGCAAGAGCGATTTCAAGGCCCTCCTCAAATGGCGCTTGAAGATGAAGGAGCATCAGGGAAGAGCGTCGGCAGGGACGGGGGAGGAAGAGGCTCGCGCGGCGGCCGCTGCCGTATTGGCCGAAAACACACGGAGGCGGAGCCCAGAGGAGGAAGAGGAGGAAATCCAGGCTGAGATTCAGAAACTCCGGGAAGAGCGAGCCGCCAAGACCAAGAGGGAGCGGAAGAAGGAACGGGAGAAGTCAGCTCGGATGCGTCTGCGGCAGGCGTACGGCATGCACCACGACGCGTTCGATCTCCCTGACCATGAGTCGATTTTTTCCCTGAAAGCAATCGGGAGTGCCGCCGAGCTGAAGAGGATTCGGGACGGAGAGTTTGCGGAGGTTGGTGAGGGGGAGGGGAGGGTGGGCCGGAGGAGGAAGAGGAGGAGGAGGAGGAGGAGGAGGAGGAGGAGAAGGAGAAGGGGGACAAAGGGGAGGAGGAGGAGGAGAGGAGGCGAACGGCCAGGCTTGAAGCGGAGCTGGAGGAGAGCTATCAGGCATACCTGTCGAACAAGAACGAAGAGAGGTTGAAGGGGACGCGGGCGGGGAAACGGAAGAAAACGGTCACGGCGGCCTTGGCGGGGGAAAAGATCTCGGAGGACCTGGCCACCTACGATGGGGACCTACGAGGTTACCTGGACCTGTTGACTGGGAGGAGGGAAGGAGATGACGAGGAGAGCGATGGGACGGGGAGCGACACGGAGAGCGGGGAGGGAGAGGAAGGCGAGCCGGAGGAGGGCGGGGAGGAGG